AAGAGCGGCTCCGCGGGGTGAGGGATGAGCGATGCGATCGCTGCGGGTCCTGGGGCAGCACCAGGGTGAGAGCGATGAGCGATGCTCTCACCGCGGGTACCAAGACAGCTCTGGGGGATGAGAGATCAGCAATGCTCTCACCGCAGGTCCCAGGGCAGTGCTGGAGTAGCTCCGCGGTGTGAGGAATGGGCGATGCTCTCACCGCGGGGTGAGGGAGGAGCGATGCTCTCACAACGGGTACCAGAACAGCTCCTCGAGGTGAGCCATGAGCGATGCTCTCACCGCGGGTACCAAGACAGCTCTGGGGGATGAGAGATCAGCAATGCTCTCACCGCAGGTCCCAGGGCAGTGCTGGTCACACAGCGTGCCCCGCGGGCAGCCCTCGGCATTGCTCTGAGTTCTGTTCCCACGTGCAAGACAAAGTCCAGGTTTGTGCCCTTAGAAGAAGCTTTATTTTTTCCTATCAGCTATACAATTGTACAGTCTCCTCTAGACCCAACCCCTCATTTGCACCATCACAGTACATACAGTACATCTTCAGCATAAAGGTTCAAGGTATAAAATTCATGAAAATACAGAAAATGTGCAAAGCAGGCCTGGCCCTTCAGACTGTCTTTCACCAAAAGACAAAGGCACATGCTGTAACATTCATGGTAAGAAAACATGCACAGCAAATGCCTCAAATAGCCCTCAGAGTCATGAACCACAGTAAACAAAGCTCAGGAACAACGTATGCCAGAGCCAGACACAGAGAAGCCAAGGAAGCAGGTACAGCAGCCTGTACAGCAGTGCAACAGCCACACAGCACCCAGACAATGCCCTAGTTAACAGCACAGGACATGGATGAGCACAGCATTCCTTCAGGCACTCACATCACAATCCTCAGGGCTTCTCATGCTGATGCTCCCAGAACCACCAGTCCTTACCAGGGCACTGCTCCACGGAGCCGCTGGAGTTCCAGCAGCTGTCCCAGCCCATGGGGCAGCCCTGGCACTGCTCTGCAAGGTGAGCTGAGGAACAGGCCCCATGTCCTTCTCTTCTGCAGCTGTGGATCATCACCTCTTCACTCGTCTGTACCTCTAGAGCCCAAAGAAGTCTTGCACAGTGTAGGTTCCAGCTGCTCCAGGGAAGGTCCCCTTGGAAGGTCCTTCTGTTGCACACTGACTCTGTCAGTTCCATCCTCCCCCAGGGAAGGGGCTGGGGCTGCTCCAGCACTGCAGGGCAGTGGAAACTGCAGCCGTGCAGAGCACAAAGCCAGGGAGGCTGAGGCCCCTCAGCACCCCCAAGGACAGCACCTACCAAAAGAGGTGAGCAGGGCATGTTTGGTGAACCTGGCACGGGGGGCACCAGGTTGGCTTCCCCTGCCTGCCACACACCCAGACACCAATGCCACAACATGCAGGGACAGCAGCCTGCAGCAGCTGCCATGTGCCCACCTGCTGCTCTGGAGGTGTTCACCTGTTCAAACACTGGTAGTTTAGATGAAGCCTCAACTAAATTTTCTTAAAATGTCATTAAACAATGATTTGTTGGTCTGGTTTTCTTTCTTACAGTTTTAATAAATATACTACATCGGTATATTGTACTCAATAATCTTTCGATCACTCACAGACTGACTTGCTTAAAAATGTATTTTATAGAAAAACATCTGCAAAATTAAACCTAACAAAAGTAATCCATATTACACAGCCCTGGACAACCTGCATGTTAGCAAAGAACTCCTTTTTATTATTTTACCTGAACATGTACTTAAAACAAGGAACATACTTATGAAACAGGACATGCTCCTTGATTATGGCACACCTCAAACTACTTGGACTAAAGGAAAACTAGTGCAATCATTTAATTGCATCTAACAACAGAACAATAAAAGTGACTTTTTATTCCTTTGTGGGTTTTTGTTGGTTTTTTTGTTTTTTTTTTCCCAAACCCATTCCATTTGTTCTCTTCCCACCACACCAAAACCTCCAGTGGTTAAAGTCCCAGAGATCAGTGTCCTTATGCTGCATGAAGCAAAATTCCCATGGGCTGATCCATGTTTACACAGAAGCATGCAAAGGAGGATACTGCAGTATTTGCAATGCAAATCTATGAAATATGTTTAAACTGAACAAGGTGTCCCTTTAACACTGCACTTCTAGAGCCTTTATCTGTGGGGGAAGTTTCCAGTGTAGGAATTAGAAAACAGCATACAATTCAGAAACAGACACAAGGAGTTTTGCAAATTGTTTGTCTTTTCAACTATGAAATCCTTCCCGGAGCTGTCTTAGCGCCGGAACCAGAACCAAGTATTGAGTAGCCAGAAAGCTGCAGAAATTGAATACATAATCATCTCCCTTTTAGTACGCTCTTTGTTTTCCTCTTCCAGAAGTTGTAGACGGCGATTAAGTTTGATTATCTAAAAACAAAGAAAAGCTTTTAATACTTGAGTAAAAGTTGGCAGACTTTCTAGAAGCTTCTAAATAGCCACATAAAATAAGTATCTCAAACAGAGGGATTTTAAACACTTGGTAAGTTCACTTTCCGTCTTCAATCAGATCTTGCTGTCCCTAGTAAGTAGTAGAATCATAGAATTTAAGGGTTGGAATGGATCTTATAGATCACCCAGCCCCAACCCTCTGCCCTGGGCAGGGACACCTCCCACCAGAGCAGGTTGCTCAAGGCTCATCCAGCCTGGCCTTGAACACTGCCAGGGTTGGGGCAGCCACAGCCTCCCTGGGCAACCAGGGCCAGTGTCTCACCAGAGAGACAGTAACAGAATGGGAGTCAGGCTCTCCAGACTCCCACAACAACACAGGGCATGTGAGGGCAGTCCAGCAGGGGCACAGGGAGAATCCCTTGCCATACCTGTTGTGGATACCTTTGCAGTCACAGAGAAAACCTGTTCCCCCATTTTACCTCTACAGCTTTGTCTTAATGTTGTCAACTCCTGTGGCTTACGTACCTGTCTTCTTAAGGATACAGCATCCACAACTGTCATGTCATCTGGTGTTCCCTCAAGTGTCGTGTCAAAGTTGGAGAGACCATATCTACTAAATAAAGAAGAAGGCTTAGCCACACAAAGATTAACAATTAGCACATTTTATCAACATTCTAGTAGATGTATTTTTTGGTGGCACTGGAGAAAATTATAAAGCTTGTTTTCCAGCTTTTACAGAGTTGCATTTCAATAGGATCCTAACTGAGTAAAGCACAAATGTATCAAGTGGGTAAGTGCTTGGCTGAATCCAGGTTAATTACACTCCACACAGACTTCTTGCTGACACACAATTCCTCAAGAGACTGTTTCCAGTTATTTAACTGACTCAGGAAACCTGTACATTGCCTAAGCTAAAGTTCCAAGTTGCAAGAGACCTGGCAACAGATTAGAAATAAGCAAATGAAGACTTAGAAATGAGTGTCAGGACCTACTTAAGTATCTCCACTTACTGAGATTAAGATTCTCAGACACATTAATCTCAGTATTTTAGGCAGAGAACTGGCAAATAAAGACTCCAGTGCAGTCACACACTGCTT